TGAAAACTATGGGTTTTTTTTTTTTAAAGGACTTTTTAGAATGTCTTGCAGAAACGGAACCTGTGAGATGCAGTGTCTTATAGCAGCTTTATCTTTGCTTCTGCCTTTAATTTGGTTTGCTGGATAAAACTGTCTTCTTTCTAGATTAAGAACCTGGAAGCTGTTTAATTCCTTGAAACAATCTTCCATGTTCATACTTTGTAAAACAATATTGAACTTGTTGCTGGTAAAACTGATAAACTCATGAGGCAGAAAGTTGTCGGATGGAGCCCTCAAGTGGTGTACCTCGTATTCAATGGACAGTGTGTTAGATTGAGCAACAACCTTTTCCTGCAATAACTTCAGGCTAGTTGTTCGTTTACTTCAGGGGCGGACTGACCATTGGAGCACTCGGGCACTGCCCAAGGGCCCGGGGTCAGTAGGGGGCCACATAAAATGCCCCTGGTACCTTTTTATAGGCTTTTTTGAGTGTGGGCAAGGACACAGGGGCCCCATGATCCCCTATTACCTGGGGGACCCATGAGTTGTCAGTCCGCCCCTGGTTTAGTTCTTAAAGTGTTTCATAATTTTTCCATCATTTTCCAAGTTGGTTTACCTGAGTGTTTGGGTAACACAACTGGATCAGAGACTTGTGTGCATGATCTGCTGTGTGTGACATCTCTTCACAGATGGAGCCCTTGTCCTGAGGGCCCAGGATACCTGTATATTCCAGCCATGCTTATTGTACACATGCGTATTGACCTTTTTTTATGCTTTGATGGTCCTATTATCTGGTGAGTTTTCAATTGGAGGTTACGGTGGTGGTCCTTTCACAGTTATTGTTGGAGCTTGGTCACAATATTGGAGATTGCAATTTCTTCTCCTGGGCGTGAATGGTGGAAGTTATAGTCTCACTCTGCTGCAGAATGAGCTGATACAGAGATTTATGATAGTGCAGACTGTTTTGTGAGGTTTTATTGTATGGAAGAAACAAACTTTGCTGTTTTTTTATCCTAATTAGTTCGAGTAATAAGTTATGATCTGGGTCCTGGAGGCTTGGGACTATGTAGAGTTTTAGTGGGATAAAGAACTTTAGACCTAGATGCATGTCTTACCTGTTAGCCAGACCTCATTAATTAGTCAACTGTCCCATGAGGCCTTATTATAACCAAAATTTACGTCTGCTAGAGGCTCTCTCTCTCTCTTGCTTTCACTGCTGTAGGAGCCTTCTGCTGGGGGTGAAAAGGCTGATAGGTATAAGAGCTGGCTGTGTGTTTTGGGGAACCAAATGCAGGCACCTTGTTAGGCAGGGAATGAGTTTAGTTAGTGGCTTGGAGGAGCAGATGGTTTGCTCTATGTTTTCAATGCTAAGCCTCTTTGCACTAGTGATTTGTTTGTTGACTGTCTTGCTGAATAAAAGTACAGGGCAAACCTGCTTGCACTGTTCCTAGGTGTCCCCATCCAATGCATGGTTTACTGCTGCCAATACCCAATTAACTTGTCTGCTTTTGGAAATGTAAAGAAAGTTGTGCCTTTTTTATATTTTGCCTTAGTGACTGTTTTTTTTTTATATAATGAAAAATATAAATGGCTACATATGTACCATTAGACCATATCAGTATTTTTTCATGTTTTAATATTTCTTCATTTTTTTTTACTAATATTAGGACAATTACATATCTTACATATAGTCAGTCAATATCCTATTTATTTTATCAAAATAAATAATGAAGGTACTGTAGGATAGTTTTCATACAAATGGCTTATCTTGATTGTCAAATCGTGTGGTAACTAAGGGCATTCACTATATCTGAGATACATATGTGAACTTTTTAATATTAGAATTTCTATGAGTATAAGTGTATACATCAGATTTAAAATGTTTGTGTTGTGACTAGAGATGAGCGAATCGAACTTGGCGAAGTGGAATTCGTTTTCGAATATTGGGAAATATTCGATTCGCGCCGAATCCGAAAATTAGCCAACTTCGGATGCACGAATCAAATTTTCCCAAAAATTGGCGGCGACATGTGTGGCGACGGGAGCGGGGATCTCTGGGAAGGCGCGCAGACAAGGCGCGCTGACCCATAATGCATTCATTCATGACATGTTGATCGCATTAGCCAATCAGCAGCCAGCCAGCCAGCCAGCACTGTGTAATGGTGGAGCTATAAATTGCGGCCATCTCTTACAATTCTCCATTAGCCTCCGGTCATTCAAGAGAGACAGACCTGTCTGTATTAGGGACAGAGTTAGGGCCAGACAGACTTTAGGGCCACAGAAATCGTTACTTTAGGACACAGAATCGTTACTTAGGGACACAGAAATCGTTACTCAGGGACACAGAATCAATACTCAGGGACACAGAATTGTTACTCAGGGACACAGAATTGTTACTCAGGGACAGACACAGAATTGTTACTGAGGGACACAGAATTGTTACTCAGGGACACAGAATTGTTACTCAGGGACACAGAATTGTTACTCAGGGACAGACACAGAATTGTTACTGAGGGACACAGAATTGTTACTGAGGGACACAGAATTGTTACTGAGGGACACAGAATTGTTACTCAGGGACACAGAATTGTTACAGGGACACAGAATTGTTACTGAGGGACACAGAATTGTTACTCAGGGACACAGAATTGTTACTCAGGGACACAGAATTGTTACTCAGGGACAGGACACAGAATTGTTACTGAGGGACACAGAATTGTTACTGAGGGACACAGAAATGTTACTCAGGGACAGACACAGAATTGTTACTCAGGGACACAGAATTGTTACTCAGGGACACAGATATTGTTACTCAGGGACACAGAATTGTTAATGAGGGGACACAGAATTGTTACTCAGGGACAGACACAGAATTGTTGACACAGAATTGTTACTCAGGGACACAGAATTGTTACTCAGGGACACAGAATTGTTACTGAGGGACACAGAATCGTTACTGAGGGACACAGAATTGTTACTCAGGGGACACAGAATTGTTACTCAGGGACACAGAATCGTTGAATTAAAGAGTATATGTCAGACAACACGCAGAGGAGTGGCAGAGGAGGAATGTTTCAGGAGCGAGCAGACGTGCAGCAGAGGAAGGGGTCGAGGCAGCACTAGTCGCAGCCAGAGGCAGTGCTACTCCGGTGTCAGATCCCAGCGGTCGTCCACCGGTCTCCACCGACACAGAACCCTGTTACGTCACACAGAATTTGTTTTACTCAGGGGTCGTCTTCCTCTTCCCAGGTCACTCTGACACCTACAGCCAACGGTCGGTGGGTACGTCAGACACAACCGTTAGTGGCATGGCCCGGGAGCAAGCCCACTGAAATCACTGTTCCTCTACCTGCCCCTGTCCTTTGGTGTTCCGGGACACCAAAGCGAAGTATCGCATGCTGTGGGCTCAGCCCCACTGTACAGTGTGGAAGAGCTAACAGAATTTGGGGCGGTCAGGAAGGGGGGAGACATCCGCCTCTTCAGCAGGCCAGGCGAAGAAGTACTGGGCGAGGAGAGTGCTCGGTAGCCGGTCTAGAGACAGGTCTGTCTCCTGACCCACACGCAGCCGAGGGGGCTAGTAGTGAGGCGAGGAGACACCTAATTGATGATGATGAGGCTGATCGCACTTGGCAGCCTCGTCGTCATCTGCCAGGCCCCCGTAATCTGCCATGGGCCCCCGTACCGACTCCTCATGCTGCTGCCAGGCCCCGTAATCTGTCATGGCCCCTGTACCGCCTCCTCATGCTGCTGCCAGGTCCAGAGTGTCTCATGGGTCCCTGTACGGCCTCCATTGCTGCTGTCTCCATCGCCACACTCTGCCATGTGCCACTTTCAGGTCTCCTCACACTGCTGGTGGGTTCCATTTTGTCATAAATTGGGTGCTGGCAGATTACGGGCCTCCCATTGCTGCTGCCAGGCCCGTAATCTGTCATGGGCCCCTGTACCGCCTCCTCATGCTGCTGCCAGGTCCAGAGTGTGTCATGGGTCCCTGTACGGCCTCCCATTGCTGCTGTCTCCATCGCCACACTCTGCCATGTGCCACTTTCAGGTCTCCTCACACTGCTGGTGGGTTCCATTTTGTCATAGGGTGCTGGCAGATTACGGGCCTCCCATTGCTGCTGCCAGGCCCGTAATCTGTCATGGGCCCCTGTACCGCCTCCTCATGCTGCTGCCAGGTCCAGAGTGTGTCTCATGGGTCCCTGTACGGCCTCCCATTGCTGCTGTCTCCATCGCCACACTCTGCCATGTGCCACTTTCAGGTCTCCTCACACTGCTGGTGGGTTCCATTTTGTCATAGGGTGCTGGCAGATTACGGGCCTCCCATTGCTGCTGCCAGGCCCGTAATCTGTCATGGGCCCCTGTACCGCCTCCTCATGCTGCTGCCAGGTCCAGAGTACCCTGTACCGCTCTCCTCTGTGTCATGGGTCCCTGTACGGCCTCCCATTGCTGCTGTCTCCATCGCCACACTCTGCCATGTGCCACTTTCAGGTCTCCTCACACTGCTGGTGGGTTCCATTTTTTGTCATAGGGTGCTGGCAGATTACGGGCCTCCCATTGCTGCTGCCAGGCCCGTAATCTGCCATGGGCCCCTGTACCGCCTCCTCATGCTGCTGCCAGGTCAGAGTGTCTCATGGGTCCCTGTACGGCCTCCCATTGCTGCTGTCTCCATCGCCACACTCTGCCATGTGCCACTTTCAGGTCTCCTCACACTGCTGGTGTGTTCCATTTTGTCATAGGGTGCTGGCAGATTACGGGCCTCCCATTGCTGCTGCCAGGGCCCGTAATCTGCCATGGGCCCCCGTACCGCCTCCTCATGCTGCTGCCAGGTCCAGTGTCTCTCATGGGTCCCTGTACGGCCTCCCATTGCTGCTGTCTCCATCGCCACACTCTGCCATGTGCCACTTTCAGGTCTCCTCACACTGCTGGTGGGTTCCATTTTGTCATAGGGTGCTGGCAGATTACGGGCCTCCCATTGCTGCTGCCAGGCCCGTAATCTGCCATGGGCCCCCCGTACCGCCTCCTCATGCTGCTGCCAGGTCCAGAGTGTCTCATGGGTCCCTGTACGGCCTCCCATTGCTGCTGTCTCCATCGCCACACTCTGCCATGTGCCACTTTCAGGTCTCCTCACACTGCTGGTGGGTTCCATTTTGTCATAGGGTGCTGGCAGATTACGGGCCTCCCATTGCTGCTGCCAGGCCCGTAATCTGCCATGGGCCCCTGTACCGCCTCCTCATGCTGCTGCCAGGTCCAGAGTCTGTCATGGGCCCCTGTACCGCCTCCTCATGCTGCTGCCAGGTCCAGAGTGTCTCATGGGTCCCTGTACGGCCTCCCATTGCTGCTGTCTCCATCGCCACACTCTGCCATGTGTGCCACTTTCAGGTCTCCTCACACTGCTGGTGGGTTCCATTTTGTCATAGGGTGCTGGCAGATTACGGGCCTCCCATTGCTGCTGCCAGGCCCGTAATCTGTCATGGGCCCCTGTACCGCCTCCTCATGCTGCTGCCAGGTCCAGAGTGTCTCATGGGTCCCTGTACGGCCTCCATTGCTGCTGTCTCCATCGCCACACTCTGCCATGTGCCACTTTCAGGTCTCCTCACACTGCTGGTGGGTTCCATTTTGTCATAGGGTGCTGGCAGATTACGGGGCCTCCCATTGCTGCTGCCAGGCCAGGCCCGTAATCTGCCATGGGCCCCGTACCGCCTTCCTCATGTGCTGCCAGGTCCAGAGTGTCTCATGGGTCCCTGTACGGCCTCCCATTGCTGCTGTCTCCATCGCCACACTTGCCATGTGCCACTTTCAGGTCTCCTCACATGCTGGTGGGTTCATTTTGTCATAGGGTGCTGGCAGATTACGGGCTCCCATTGCGGCAGCTGTGCATACATTGTTCCTCTGCACAGCTCAGCCATCCACATACTCTCCCCTTAGAGCGGGTTTTCTCTCCTTTTTCTCTAATGGATGGGTTCCAGTCCCAGGCTTTCAGCCAGTCAAAGTCAACTTCAGCACATAGTCTCTTCCAAAATGGCCATCGCCTCCCCTGTGCTGGGGACACTTTCCAGTTCAACACTGCTCATGCTGTAGAAAGGCAGAAAGAAACTGTAACAAGGGGAAATTTCCTTCAAGTAAGCTAAAGGAGCCAGGCAACAAGAGGAAGAAAGAACAAGTGGCTATACGTGAAATCCAATAAAGGATCACTTTTACCATGTATCAAATGTAAATATAAATAACCATAGAGAAAGCTGTGGACTACAGTAACTACGTTTCTAAATCTAAGTTATAGGAGTTTAATGAAAGAGTAAATGTAAACCAAACAAATGGCCTTAATATTGCAGCTATTGCCAGCCCAGCGGCAGTATTGGGGAAAAAGAGGGTTATGGACAAAGTGATTTACAAATAAACAGATTTGTGTTTAATCATTTCAGTTTCCAATTCTGCCACTAGATGTCGCCAGAGACTAGCGAAGCATCTCTGAATCAATGATCCTCAGTAGAGATGAGCGAATCGAACTTGGCGAAGTGGAATTCGTTTCGAATATTAGGAAAAATTTGATTTTTCCTAATATATTTTCGCGCCGAATCCGAAAATTAGCAGACTTCGGATGCGCGAATCGAAATTTTTCCAAAAATGGCGGCGACATGTGTGGCGACGGAGCGGGGATCTCTGGGAAGGCGCGCAAACAAGGCGCGCTGACCCATAATGCATTCATTCATGACATGTGATCGCATTAGCCAATCAGCAGCCAGCCAGCCAGCACTGTGTAATGGTGGAGCTATAAATTGCGGCCATCTTACAATTCTCCATTTGCCTCCGGTCATTCAAGAGAGACAGACCTCTCTGTATTAGGGACAGAGTTAGGGCCACAGATACTTTAGGGACACAGAATCGTTACTTAGGGACACAGAATTGTTACTCAGGGACACAGAATTGTTACTCAGGGACACAGAACTGTTACTCAGGGACACAGAATTGTTACTCAGGGACAGACACAGAATTGTTACTGAGGGACACAGAATTGTTACTGAGGGACACAGAATTGTTACTGAGGGACACAGAATTGTTACTGAGGGACACAGAATTGTTACTCAGGGACACAGAACTGTTACTCAGGGACAGACACAGAATTTGTTACTGAGGGACACAGAATTGTTACTGAGGGACACAGAATTGTTACTGAGGGACACAGAATTGTTACTCAGGGACAGACACAGAATTGTTACTGAGGGACACAGAATTGTTACTCAGGGACACAGAACTGTTACTCAGGGACACAGAATTGTTACTCAGGGACAGACACAGAATTGTTACTGAGGGACACAGAATTGTTACTGAGGGACACAGAATTGTTACTGAGGGACACAGAATTGTTACTCAGGGACAGACACAGAATTGTTACTAGGGAGGGACACAGAACTGTTACTGAGGGACACAGAATTTGTTACTGAGGGACACAGAATTGTTACTCAGGGACACAGAATTGTTACTCAGGGACACAGAATTGTTACTCGGGGACACAGAATTGTTACTGAGGGACACAGAATTGTTACTGAGGGACACAGAATTGTTACTGAGGGACACAGAATTGTTACTCAGGGACAGACACAGAATTGTTACTGAGGGACACAGAATTGTTACTGAGGGACACAGAATTGTTACTCAGGGACACAGAATTGTTACTCAGGGGACACAGAACTGTTACTCAGGGACACAGAATTGTTACTCAGGGACAGACACAGAATTGTTACTGAGGGACACAGAATTGTTACTGAGGGACACAGAATTGTTACTGAGGGACACAGAATTGTTACTCAGGGACACAGAACTGTTACTTAGGGACACAGAATTGTTACTCAGGGACACAGAACTGTTACTCAGGGGACACAGAATTGTTACTCAGGGACAGACACAGAATTGTTACTGAGGGACACAGAATTGTTACTGAGGGACACAGAATTGTTACTCAGGGACAGACACAGAATTGTTACTGAGGGACACAGAATTGTTACAGGGAGGGACACAGAATTGTTACTCAGGGACACAGAACTGTTACTCAGGGACACAGAATTGTTACTCAGGGACACAGAATTGTTACTCAGGGACACAGAATTGTTACTCAGGGAGGGACACAGAATTGTTACTCAGGGACACAGAATTGTTACTGAGGGACACAGAATTGTTACTCAGGGACACAGAATTGTTACTCAGGGACACAGAATTGTTACTCAGGGACACAGAATTGTTACTCAGGGACACAGAATTGTTACTCAGGGACACAGAATTGTTACACAGAATTGTTACTGAGGGACACAGAATTGTTACTCAGGGACAGACACAGAATTGTTACTGAGGGACACAGAATTGTTACTCAGGGACACAGAATTGTTACTCAGGGACACAGAATTGTTACTCAGGGACACAGAATTGTTACTCAGGGACACAGAATTGTTACTCAGGGACACAGAATTGTTACTGAGGGACACAGAATTGTTACTGAGGGACACAGAATTGTTACTGAGGGACACAGAATTGTTACTCAGGGACACAGAATTGTTACTGAGGGACACAGAATTGTTACTCAGGGACACAGAATTGTTACTCAGGGACACAGAATTGTTACAGAATTGTTACTCAGGGACACAGAATTGTTACTCAGGGACACAGAATTGTTACTCAGGGACACAGAATTGTTACTCAGGGACACAGAATTGTTACTCAGGGACACAGAATTGTTACTCAGGGACACAGAATTGTTACTCAGGGGACACAGAATTGTTACTCAGGGACACAGAATTGTTACTGAGGGACACAGAATTGTTACTGGGGGACACAGAATTGTTACTGAGGGACACAGAATTGTTACTCAGGGACAGACACAGACTGAGGGACACAGAATTGTTACTGAGGGACACAGAATTGTTACTGAGGGACACAGAATTGTTACTCAGGGACACAGAATTGTTACTGAGGGACACAGAATTGTTACAGGGACACAATTGTTACTCAGGGACACAGAATTGTTACAGGGACACAGAATTGTTACTCAGGGACACAGAATTGTTACTCAGGGACACAGAATTGACACAGACAGACACAGAATTGTTACTCAGGGACACAGAATCGTTACTCACACAGAATCGTTGAATTAAAGAGTATGTCAGACAACACGCAGAGGAGTGGTCAGAGGAGGCAATGTTTTAGGAGCGAGCAGAGACGTGGCAGCAGAGGAAGGGGTCGAGGCAGCACTAGTCGCAGCCAGAGGCCAGTGCTCCCGGTGTCATCCAGCGGTCGTGTCTCCACCGACAACCCTGCCGTCATCGATTGGTTGGCTCGGTCGTCTTCCTCTTCCCAGGTCACCTCTGACACCTACAGCCAACGGTCGGTGGGTACGTCAGACACAACCGTTAGTTGGCATGGCCCGGGAGCAAGCCCACTGAAATCACGTGTCCTCTACCTGCCCCTGTCCTTTGGTGTTCCCTCACCAAGCGAAGTATCGCATGCTGTGGGCTCAGCCCCACTGTACAGTGAGGAAGAGCTAACAGAGGGCGGTCAGGAACGGGGGGAGACATCCGCCTCTTCAGCAGCCAGGCGAAGAAGTACTGGCGAGGAGAGTGGCTCGGTAGCCGGTCTAGAGACAGGTCTGTCTCCTGACCCACACGCAGCCGAGGGGGCTAGTAGTGAGGCGGAGACCCTAATTGATGATGATGAGGCTGATCGCACTTGGCAGCCTCGTCGTCATCAGGCTATTGCTTCCGCATCATCAGGAGAAGAGGGTGCCAGCTTGGCAGCGAGCAAAACAGTCGGTGGGTTGCCCAGGAGGCAGCAGGTCGCAGCAGTGTCAGTGGAGGCAAACGGCCACGGAGTAGAGCACCAGCTCCACTGCAGCCTACCACCACGGCCAGTAGTGGTGCCGGTGTGCACGGAGGAAGTAGCAGTCAGCCAGTGAGGAGTAGCGGGGGCAAAGTTTCCTACTCGGCGGTGTGGCAATTTTTTCGTCAAGCCCGCCCGAGGAAGTAAACGTAGCCGTATGTCGACTATGTGGCCAGAAAGTCAAGCGTGGCCAGGGGGCCCATGTTGGGACTACAGCGTTGCGTCAGCATATGCAGCGTCGCCATTCGCCATTCGGTGGCCTGGGGAAAACCGTGATAAAGATACGGCGGTTCTGCCTGCCCCAGCCCCCGCTCCATCACCCGCTCCGTTACTTGCTCCGTCACCCGACGTCAATCGCCCTCTATCAGCCAGTCAAGGCTCCAACACCTCTGCTGAGGGGAGTTGTCGCTCGTTGGCATCTTCCGCTCGTTCAGATGCTCCCTTCTCCTGCTGCTACTCCTCTTCACGGATTCCGTCAGCAGTCTTTCTTGGAATCCGTTTCCAAGAGACAACAGTTTGCGAGCACGCACCCGACGGTGCAGAAGCTGAACGTCCTCCTGTCCAAGTTGCTGGTGCTGCAGTCCCTCCCTTTCCAAGTGGTGGACTCAGCACCTTTCCGAGAAATGATGGCTTGTGCCCGCCGCGGTGGAGAGTGCCAAGCCGGCATTTCTTCGCCAAAAAGGCAGTGCCAGCCCTGCATTCACATGTAGAAGAGATGGTGGGGGCCAGTCTTTGAGCATGTCGGTCTCTGCCAAAGTGCACGGCAGCGCCGACGTGTGGAGCTGTAACTACGGTCAGGGACAGTACATGTCATTTTTACGGCCCACTGGGTGAACGTGGTGCCGGCACAGCCGCACCAGCAACTTGGACAGGTCACGCCGCTTTTGCCTCCACGTTTGCACGTCCTTGGTCCAGCAAAGATGTCCGCCTCTACCACCTCTTCTTCCGCCGTGTCCTCAGCCGCCACCCCCGTGCCAAGTCCCATTACCCGACCGGCATATCACATGTGCAGGGCGCAACGGTGTCACGCTGTGCTGCACCTGGTATGCCTTGGCGAACGTAGTCACACAGGGGAGGAACTTCTGAGTGTAATGAACAGAGAAATCGACAGATGGCTGTCTCCGCGCAAACTGAAAATCGGAACCATGTTGACCGACAACGGAAAGAACATGGTGTCTGCTCTGCGTCAAGGAAGGTTGTGCCATGCGCCATGCATGGCTCACGTGTTCAATCTGGTTGTCAAGCGGTTCCTAAAATCCACCATCCCACTGCAAGACATCCTTAAAATGTCACGTAAACTTTGCATGCATTTCAGCCATTCCTACACCGCAAAGCACACCCTCCTTGAGCTGCAGCGGCAGAACGGAATTCCACAGCATCGCCTGATCTGCGACGTTGCAACAAGGTGGAATTCAACCCTACATATGTTAGACCGCCTTTACGAACAGCGAAAGGCCATCACCGATTTCCTGATGTTACAAGCGGATAAAGGTACTCCCCTGTGTAACTTAGATGTCAGCCATTGGCAGCTCATGCGTGACACCTGCCGCTTGCTCAGGCCCTTTGAGGAGGCCACGCTATTCGTGAGTCGGCAGGACTATGGGATGAACGACGTCATTCCTCTGTTGCACGTCCTGGAACAAATGCTGTTAACAATGGCTGGTCAGGGTGCGGTAGACGTGGCGCACAGATCTCAACGCCACATGACCCCTGTGGGGGCAGGACAGGAAGAAGAGGAGGAGGTAGAGGAGGACATTGGTGCTCAGGAATTATTGAGTGAAATGGGTGGTTTTTCCACTCAGCGGACAGGAGTGGAGGAGCAGGAGCATCTGGTAGAGGAGGAGGAGGAGACAGAGGACCCAGACGCACCGTGGCAGATGCTGTGGAGATGGAGGCAGGGAGTCCCTCGCATTCCTTGGCACAAATGGCCCATAGCATGCTCGTTGCTTGCGTAGCGACAGCCGAATAATAACCATCAGACAGAGGGATGACTTTTGGCTGTCCACCTTGTTGGACCCTCGCTACCGTTCAAAAATGGTGGCCTTTTTCACACCTGCTGAGAGGGAGGCCAAAATAACGTACTATAAAAACCACCTATGTAGTCAGTTGGTCTCTGCCTTTCTGCGCCAACGTCCATCCTCAGACACTGTGGGCCCTGTGCGCTCGCGTTCCGCTGCCATGGCAGCAGGGGGGGAGGGGTGGGGTGGTAGGAGCAGTGGCAGCTCCCACCAGCAGCGGCTGCCTCAGTCTGCAGTCGATGATGAGTAGCTTTCTTCACCAGCGCAGTGAGGAAACTACTACTAACCACCAGCCGCAGCAGCAGCAGCATCAGGTGGACCTGGAGCAGGACCTCAACAACAGGCTTGGGCCTACTTGGACAGCACCCTGCCAACCGAGGTAGACAATCCCCTTGACTACTGGGCAACGAAACTTGACCTTTGGCCCCAACTAGCTGAATTTGCCCTTGAAAGGCTGTCATGCCCGGCCAGTAGCGTGGCATCGGAGCGCGTGTTTAGTGCGGCAGGAGGTATTGTAACTCCGCGGAGGACACGACTGTCCACCCAAAGTGTGGAGAGACTCACGTTTGTGAAAATGAATCAGGCGTGGATTAGTCTGGATTTCAAACCACCAGTTCCTGACACAACTGACTAAATCCGCCATGAATCATGCCCCAAACATGTTATTATTTTTAACATAGGCCTCTGTATGGGCCTTCAATTTAAGCTGCTTACGCTTCGTAACTCTGCCATGGGCCCCTGTACCGCCTCCTCTTGCTGCTGCCAGGTCCAGAGTGTGTCATGGGTCCCTGTACGGCCTCCCATTGCTGCTGTCTCCATCGCCACACTCTGCCATGTGCCACTTTCAGGTCTCCTCACACTGCTGGTGGGTTCCATTTTGTCATAGGGGGTGCTGGCAGATTACGGGCCTCCCATTGCTGCTGCCAGGCCCGTAATCTGCCATGGGCCCCCGTACCGCCTCCTCCTCATGCTGCTGCCAGGTCCAGAGTGTCTCATGGGTCCCTGTACGGCCTCCCATTGCTGCTGTCTCCATCGCCACACTCTGCCATGTGCCACTTTCAGGTCTCCTCACACTGCTGGTGGGTTCCATTTTGTCATAGGGTGCTGGCAGATTACGGGCCTCCCATTGCTGCTGCCAGGCCCGTAATCTGCCATGGGCCCCCGTACCGCCTCCTCATGCTGCTGCCAGGTCCAGAGTGTCTCTCATGGGTCCCTGTACGGCCTCCCATTGCTGCTGTCTCCATCGCCACACTCTGCCATGTGCCACTTTCAGGTCTCCTCACACTGCTGGTGGGGTTCCATTTTGTCATAGGTGCTGGCAGATTACGGGCCTCCCATTGCTGCTGCCAGGCCCGTAATCTGCCATGGGCCCCCTGTACCGCCTCCTCATGCTGCTGCCAGGCCCGTAATCTGTCATGGGGGTCCCTGCTACGGCCAGGTCCCTGTACGGCCTCCCATTGCTGCTGTCTCCATCGCCACACTCTGCCATGTGCCACTTTCAGGTCTCCTCACACTGCTGGTGGGTTCCATTTTGTCATAGGGTGCTGGCAGATTACGGGCCTCCCATTGCTGCTGCCAGGCCCGTAATCTGCCATGGGCCCCTGTACCGCCTCCTCATGCTGCTGCCAGGCCCGTAGATCTGTCATGGGTCCCTGTACGGCCTCCCATTGCTGCTGTCTCCATCGCCACACTCTGCCATGTGCCACTTTCAGGTCTCCTCACACTGCTGGTGGGTTCCATTTTGTCATAGGGTGCTGGCAGATTACGGGCCTCCCATTGCTGCTGCCAGGCCCGTAATCTGCCATGGCCCCCGTACCGCCTCCTCATGCTGCTGCCAGGTCCAGAGTCTGTCATGGGTCCCTGTGTACGGCCTCCCATTGCTGCTGTCTCCATCGCCACACTCTGCCATGTGCCACTTTCAGGTCTCCTCACACTGCTGGTGGGTTCCATTTTGTCATAGGGTGCTGGCAGATTACGGGCCTCCCATTGCTGCTGCCAGGCCCGTAATCTGTCATGGGCCCCTGTACCGCCTCCTCATGCTGCTGCCAGGTCCAGAGTCTCTCATGGGTCCCTGTACGGCCTCCCATTGCTGCTGTCTCCATCGCCACACTCTGCCATGTGCCACTTTCAGGTCTCCTCCACACACTGCTGGTGGGTTCCATTTTGTCATAGGGTGCTGGCAGATTACGGGCCTCCCATTGCTGCTGCCAGGCCCGTAATCTGCCATGGGCCCCTGTAGGCCCGTAATCCATGGCCCCGCCCCGCCTCCTCATGCTGCTGCCAGGCCCGTAATCTGTCATGGGTCCCTGTACAGCCTCCCATTGCTGCTGTCTCCATCGCCACACTCTGCCATGTGCCACTTTCAGGTCTCCTCACACTGCTGGTGGGTTCCATTTTGTCATAGGGTGCTGGCAGATTACGGGCCTCCCATTGCTGCTGCCAGGCCCGTAATCTGCCATGGGCCCCCGTACCGACTCCTCATGCTGCTGCCAGGCCCGTAATCTGTCATGGGCCACTGTACCGCCTCCTCATGCTGCTGCCAGGTCCAGAGTGTCTCATGGGTCCCTGTACGGCCTCCCATTGCTGCTGTCTCCATCGCCACACACTCTGCCATGTGCCACTTTCAGGTCTCCTCACACTGCTGGTGGGTTCCATTTTTTGTCATAGGGTGCTGGCAGATTACGGGCCTCCCATTGCTGCTGCGCCAGGCCCGTAATCTGCCATGGGCCACTGTACCGCCTGCCTCCTCATGCTGCTGCCAGGTCCAGAGTCTCTCATGGGTCCCTGTACGGCCTCCCATTGCTGCTGTCTCCATCGCCACACTCTGCCATGTGCCACTTTCAGGTCTCCTCACACTGCTGGTGGGTTCCATTTTGTCATAGGGTGCTGGCAGATTACGGCCTCCCATTGCTGCTGCCAGGCCCGTAATCTGCCATGGACCCCCGTACCGACTCCTCATGCTGCTGCCAGGCCCGTAATCTGTCATGGGCCCCTGTACCGCCTCCTCATGCTGCTGCCAGGTCCAGAGTGTCTCATGGGTCCCTGTACGGCCTCCCATTGCTGCTGTCTCCATCGCCACACTCTGCCATGTGCCACTTTCAGGTCTCCTCACACTGCTGGTGGGTTCCATTTTGTCATAGGGTGCTGTATGGCCTCCTATTGCTGCTGCCGACTCCACCGCCCCACACTGTGGCTCCACACTCTGGTTTGGCTCCGTGACTGCCCAAATGAGTGAAGTGTGCGGTGATTCTAAGATCGACGGCACTCATCTGCATGTCATACTGATGACAGTAGTATTTTTCTTCCCCAGCAGACTCCAAGGGCATTTAAATTAAAGGTACAGTGTTCTGCACTAATATAAAGGCACTCTCTGAAGCCTAAAAACACCCTTTTATAAGTTAAATTCGCAGCGAATATATTCGCATCGAATCGAATTTATTCCTCGAATTTCGCCGAATCAAATTTTTGAATACTCTTCGCTCATCTCTAATCCTCAGCACTCTCTAGTGAATTCCAAAAAACGGAAGCCCTGGCATTGACATTTATCTTTTATATTAGTTCAATGACAGATTTGAGCTACAAAAACTGACAAATTTCAATGTATTATATTTTTTAGAAAGATACAATTTTTTCAGTGTAGCTCTCAATATATGAACAACACAACAGATGATACACTTATGATGAATATAAAGCTTCATCTGAATGAAAAAAAACCTGTCTGTTATCAAACGTTAACCACTTAGCCTCCAGAGGATTTACCCCTCTTCCTGACCAGGCCATTTTTTGTGATATGGCAAAAACTTTAACTGACAATTGCGTGGTCATGCAATGCTGGCACCCAAATTAAATTTAGTCCTGTCCTTTTTCCCCACAAATAGAGTTATTTTTCAGTGGTATCTGATCACCTATGCGTTTTTATTTTTTTTATTCTCCTTTTTATACACACCTGAGATTTAATTTTAATGTGTACACACACAAGAATTATTGTAATCATGATTCGCACACCGCCCCCCCCCCCCCTTTTTTTTTTTTCATTGCTTCATGGTATATCGTTGGTTGCTTCAGGTTTCTGTATTTTTTTATATTTATTTTCATTATTATTAATTATTTATTTTTTATCATTATTTTATTTTTTTTATTATTTTTTTTATTTTTTACCATCCTGTTTTTTTCTATTTTTATTTATTTCATCTACTCTATTCATTTTCTCCCCCATTTTTTTCACGTTTTTTTTTTTCATCCATTTTGAATTTTCTTTTTCTGTTTTTGAGATTTCTCAATAACCGTGACTTTCCATCCATGTTAATTCTCTGATCACCTTACAACAATGGCCAATTCATTGCACGTGTATCCATCCGATTGATTAATTGGTTTGGAATTAGCCCCCAACTCCATATATTTTCAACCCCATGCTTCCACCTCTCCTGCTTGATAAAGAGCGCACTTCCGCCTTCCACGGCCAGCGCATGCTCCGAAAAGCACCACAGTGCAGCTTAGGTATCTGACGTCATCGCGGTCATACCGCTGCTGCGTTCCAGCGTGCGTTCCACCTGGCTCTGAGTGAGGACGTGTGCATGCCGGCCGGCTCCACAGCTGTTACCCTCCAGCCACCACGCTGCTCCAGCGGCATGCTGACTACCCAAGACCCACACAGATGACAGCTCTTCACCCTGGATATACCCACCTACTGATGTTTACACCATAACACAGTTTTTATGCTATCATTTACCTCAACTATGTGAGTGTTCCTACCTTTTAACCTGAATAAAGTGAAATACTGCACTTAGAGGCGCTTCTTCTCCTTCTCTCATCCTACAGAGTTTGCTACAGTATTTCTGGAAGCCTTGCCCTTAGTGCTACACGGGCCCCCCACGCTTATCTTCCTCATACAGCTACAGCACTACCATCATCCTACACCAGGATAACCCAGGACTTTGAACAGTTTTATGCGCTGATCACCCCCTTCATTTCTCCTTACACCCTGTAGCAGTAGTTCTGCTATAGGGCGGTGGGGAACCGGTTAAAGTCTACAGTGGGGAAAATAATGATTTGATCCCCTGCAGATTTTGTAAGTGTGCCCCACTTACAAAGAAGTTAAGGGTCTGTAATTTTTATTTCAGAGCTGTTATTTTAAATGATAGAGACAGAATATCAACCAAAAATCTAGAAAAAAACACAAGATACAAATGTTATAAATTGAGTTGCAGTTCAGTGCGTAAAATAAGTATTTGATCCACAAGCAAAACATGACTTAGTACTTGGTGGAGAAACCTTTGTTGGCAAGCACAGAGGGTAAGACGTTTCTTGCAGTTGGTTACCAGGTTTGCACACATCTCAGGAGGGATTTTGGTCCAATCTTCTTTACAAATCTTCAAAAAAAAAATGGTTTCTTGGCTGTTTCTTGGCAAATCGAAGTGTCAGCTCCCTCCATATATTTTCTATAGGATTAAGAGACTGGCTAGGCCACTCCATGACCTTAATGTGCTTCTTCTTGAGCTACTCCGTTGTTGCCTTGGTGGTATATTTTCTGGTCATTGTGATGCTGGAAGACACATCCATGACCCATCTTCAGTGTTGGCTGAGGGAAGAAGGTTCTCATCCAAGATTTTACAATACATGGCCCCGTATTTTGGCCCCTCAATGTGGTAAAGTCAGTGTGTACCCTGTAGCAGAGAAACAGCCCCAAAGCATAATGTTTCCACCTCTGTGCTTGACTGTAGGGAAGGTGTTCTTAGGGTCATAGTTAGCATTTTACTTTCTCCAAACACAGAGAGTTGAGTTAATACCAAAGAGCTCAATTTTGGTCTCTTCTGACCACAGCACTTTCTCCCAGTCCTTCTCTGAATCATTTAGATTTTCATTGGCAAACTTAAGACGGGCGTGTACATGTGCCTTCTCGAGGAGGGGGACCTTGCAGGTGCTGCAGGATTTCAATCCTATTGTGTTACCAATGGTTTTTTTTGGTGACTGTGGTCCCAACTGCCTTGAGATCATTCACAAGTTCCTCCCATGTAGTTCTGGGCTGATTCCTCATTTTTCTTATGATCATTCTTACCCCATGAGGCGAAATCATGCATGGAGCTCCAGACTGAGGGCGATTGATGGTTATTTTGTATTTCTTTCATTTCTGAATAATCACTCCAACAGCTGTCTCCTTCTCACCAAGCTTTTTGATATTGTAGCCCATTCCAGCCTTGTGTAGGTCTACAATCATGTCCTTGAACAGCTCTTTTGCCTTGCCCATAATGGTGAAGTTTGAATGGAAGAAAGAGATTCTGTGGACAGGTGTCTTTTATACACATAATGAGTTATCGTTAGGAGCACCATCCTAAATTAACAGGACTAACTGTATACCACATGAGCACATAGCCAGTCTGTGAGAGACAGAATTATTGTTGGTTGGTGGGGGATCAAAATTTTTTTTACGATTTTACTCACTGAACTGCAACTCAATTGATAACATTTGTATCGTGTGTGTTTTCTGGATTTTTGGTTGATATTCTGTTTCTATCATTTAAAATACACCTATGATAAAGATTATAGACCCTTAGTTTCCTTACAAAATCTGCAGGGGATCAAATAATTATTTTTGCCACTGTATATGTGAAAACACTATATGTACCCATGGTAAGTAAAATGATTTTACATAGTGACCATGTTAGTAAATATAATTTATTTGTAATTCTTTTTTTCCCTTATCCTGGGCTTAAAAGCGGAACTTTACCCATAACAGCTAACAATTAATGTTCTTTAACCAAAATACATACATTCCACGCTAATAATTATGCTACCAAAATTAGTGTATGCTGTAAATTGCCTCCAGCATTGCTCTTGTTTCTTCTTGCTGGAGGCTGCCATTTTCCTGGAGCCCAGAGCAGTCACTTCGTTACTGGAATCTCTACCCCTCTCCTTGGTCCCAAAATCTATATACCACTTTCTGTAATTAAAATATGCACATTTTCAGCCTTTATTGTATGTGTTGGCTCAATTAGAAAGAAGGCTGACAGAAGCTTTACAGTGTTGAAGTTCACAGGCTGCAGATATGGGAGAAAGGCTAGAATATCAGGGAGATAAGATGCTATCCTTGTGAGTTTAACTATTTTGTGTCTCCATGGCAGCAGAGTTTTCCCTGTCAGCTCTCTTATCTTTCTTTTCTCCCTTCCTAATCTGTGTTCCCCCTGCACAATATATGTAATTTCTGTTGCCTTCTTCCCCTTTCAGCAAGGCTCTAATTTTAGGCACAATGCCGAGAATAGAAAGTAACTCAGCATGTGCAGAGCATGATGAGACTGTGCATTAATGGATTTTAAACAGTACAGGCACTCATTTTTAATGTTTTACATAGCTATACCTGCAAAAGAGGCCAACCTGAAGTGATCTATCAGAACTTAATTTTCTGACTAAAGTTCCACTTTAATATAGTGGATATGTGACCGTCAGGGGTGGACTGACCATTTGGAAACTCGGGCACTGCCCGAGGGCCCAGGGTCAGTAGGGGGCCCCATGAGATGCCCCTGGTACCTTTTTCATAGGCTTTTTTGAGTTTGGGCAAGGACACAGGGGCCCCATGATCCCCTATTGCCCGGGGGCCCCATGAGTTGTCAGTCCGTCCCTGGCGACTGCACAGCGTTCTTTTCTGTTCTCTTTTGGCTAATGGGGCTGGGAAGTTCATTATATCAGCAACAGCCTGGGAAGTATGCTTATACTGTGTTCCAGAAGGCTGTGCTTTCTGTTATCCATACTCTTAGAGGCTTGGAGCAGCTTCAGTTTGACAGTGCCCCTCAATCATGATGCAAAAGCTTGATGGGGGGAACATGGCAGGTAAACAGACTATAGAAGATAAAGCCACGCATTGCAACAGCACCGCATTCTGTGCAAGCATGGATCTTCTTTCATGCTTTCTGTGGTCTGTTTACAACAAATGGACTTTGCTTAATACCTCAACCCTAACCAAAATGGTCTCTACTCAACAGGTGAAAATAAATTACGTATCCAAAAAAGCACTAGTACTGACAGCTATTTTGGACATACAGCTTCTGCTTATTGATTAATGGATCTGTGGTGTGCTCCCTCCCCTCTATTGCATATAAACACTAAATATGGGACCTGGCAGGATCAGTAGTTTTTAATGTCTTTCAATTTACAAGAAAGAAGGGGGACTGGCAGATAAACAAGGTATTTCTAGTGAATGAATTCTATTTAAATGTTATATGCACAAGGTATATATAGACAAACATACACTTTACATTCTCTAAATTTGTTAGTTTCAAAGACTTTTTCTGCA